TACCCACGAAAGAGAACTAAGAAGAAGTTCAGATGTGTCTCAACAACACTGTGAAAAGGTCAACAAACAGGACGGAAGGGAGATTGGCCATGTGCGAATTCTTAGAACAGACACCATTCGTTCAGATTGGGGTGGAAAATTGATGCAGATAGCACAGCAAGAAGATTGTGACATTAAACCAATTTTGGATTGGATGAAATCTTCAGCTGTCAAGCCGCGATGGAGTAAAGTCGCATCGACAAGTACCATTACTAAGAGTTACTGGGCTCAATGGGATAGTTTAGTTCTACATAATGGAGTGTTATGTCGCAAACTGAAAAATGCTCAAGGCGATCATTTGCAGTTAGTTGTGCCAAGATCCAAGGTTCGCGACATATTGGAAATGTTTCATACTGACTTATCTAGTGGAGGACATTTAGGAGTAAAGAGGACTCTTATGAAGATTAAAGAAATGTTTTATTGGATACGCTATCGTGAAGATGTTGAACACTGGATCGAGAAATGTAAAGCTTGTGCAGCTATTAAGCATTCGCAGTCGGTCTCGATGGGGAAGGATAATGATGACAGGAAGTGATGATGCTCGGGACGAGCATGTCTAAGGAGGGGGTAGTGTTACGAAGACGGGTCGACTTCAATGTTTTTAGATTTTACCACTACTTAGAGAAGTTTTCAGCAGGCTGAAATGTGATTTCTGACCGTTTCAGGAGAGGGTCAATCACATATTAGAAAATCGTAATTTACATAATGTCACCCTAGTTTTCAGGAGCCTGAAACATTTTTTCAGGCCGTTTCAGAACACGTGTAGTCGAATGGTACACTTTTCAGGAAACCCGTTTTCAGGCGTTTTCAGGCCTGGTTATACCCCTTTGACGAAGGAATGTTCTAGAACGAATTTTCTAGGTGTGGGAGAAGGACGAACGATACGCGAGAGAGAGGGAAGATCGGAACCTTCTCGAAGCTAGACCGAGCACTCTAGAACGCCGTACGACAAGGACGGAGCAATGTGCGAAAGAGATAGCTAGTACGCACGTTCTAGAATTGTGCGATCGCTACTCAGTTGCGCCGCCGCCTAGAGAGTTCTCGAACATCGCTCCCAGGGATATATAAGCGAGCCGAAACGCGACCGATTAGTTCAGTTTTGAATGCGATATCAAGCGATAAACACCGGAGTGAAAAAGTGCGAATATAGTGAAGAAAAGTGAATACAAGTACTGTGTGAAGTGCGTGTAATAAAGTAATTAGTGACAGTATTTTGTGTGTGTAATCAGTGAATTTTAGTGCGTAATTGTGGTTTTTAGTGTTAACAAATTCCTCGTAGATTTAATTAAAAATAAACCCTTGAAGAAATCTACGGCGTTTCTATCCGATCCCCTAGCTCGTAACAATATATTAGGGGTCATTGCATATGAAGTTGGCGTTTTGTAGGAAAGGAACTAAAAGTAGATTTTCACTGGTATTTTCTTTTGCAACACTGCCGCCATACACATCATTAATCCTTCGAGGCGTTTCTGCAGCACTGGTTCCACGGTGGAACTCGTACTCTTGAATAAAGCGATATTACATGTTTTCCATTATACATATATAGTGACGCAAAAAAATTAAGAGAGATTTGGAATTCCTAACCAAAGAGGAGATATTTGAGATCATAGTTCGACAAAAATATGTAAGGACTTAAATAATTATCAAGCCTCACTTACAAAATATACACATATTTTAAAATTTTGTACATATATAATTATAAATAAATAAATAATTTTTTTTTATTCCAAGGTCCTCTTACAGAGTATAGGCCTCCTCTCATTGGCTCCATCTATCTATCTTGAGCATCGTTCTCCCAATCTTCTCCACCAACTTCTTTAAGCTCGTCAGCCCACCGTTCACGAAGGCGACCTCTCTTTCTTTTTCCTGGTGGCCCTTTCTACCTTGTTACCCTTTTTGTCCATCTGCCATTGTTCATGCGAACGAAATACAGAAATAATAAAAAAAACAAAAGTTATTGATACACTATCCCATTGCAAAAAAAACTTAAGTGGAAACCATAGACCATACGTATGATAAATTCCATAAATATAATTAGGGTAATAATAAAATCGACAAGACTATTTACTTTATTAGCGACCTGTTCCTGTTATCTTCATCCTATGGTGGGTGATGGACAAAATACCAACGTTTTAATATAATATATACATGCGTGTTCTTTGTAATCAACACATTCAGGATACCATTGGTACTATGCCTAACACGATGCATCAAAGATCCCACCTTTTTCCGAATTATGGCATCAAAACCATCAGGTCGCGGCAAACATACCTGACGAACCCAGAATACACCGCAGAACCTCGGCAAGCCCAATAGCAACTAAACGTGATATACTGAATACAGAGCGTATTCAATGCTTTTTTAATGCAACTTGTTAACAATATTCTCAATACATAAAACCTATATTCATAAAAACTAAAGCAGTCTTACACTATATTAACTGAAGCAATAAACTACCTTCTCATAACAGAAAGAGACAAATGAGTACCTACTTAAGTTTAAACTATAATATGAGAATAGAATTAGATAGTATTCGGACTGTTTAAAAATGAAAAAGAAAGTCTAGAAAGTTAGAAATAGCACTTTTTAAATATTTTCGTGATTGCGTCCCCCCGCTGACGTTTCAATTTGTGAGAGAATGCATTAATCAGAAGAGAGAGAGCTTAGGGAGAATGAAGCAGTTTGTCAAGCAAAGTAGCATGAAGTTATTACAGATATTTATTTGTGTCATTCATTTAAACGTGAGCCTCGAAGTCTTCTATATAATAATAAACAGTGGAATTTACAACCTTTTAAAGTCTGGGTCTAAGATTTGTTTTTTCTAATAGATCAGTGATCAGCCTTCTTCGTCTGACACACACTGTCGATCTTTTGGGTCTAAGACATGCCGGTTTCCTTACGATATTTTCCTTCAATGAGCAAGTGTTAAATGCTCACATAGACAGAAAGCAAATTGGTGCACAAATGGGAGTTGAACCTACGAGCGCAGGGATGATAGCCGCACGCTGACGCCACTAGGCCAACACACGTTTCAACAAGTTTTCTAAATAAGGCGTGAAAAGCTTAATAAAATTAACAGGAATTATATATTTAAAGAAAACACTTTTTTACCGGATTGAAGTTATGGATTATTATAAATTTACAATTACATATTTTACATAATTTTAATATTTTTTTCCGACGTTTCGCGTGCTTTACAGCGTGCGTGGTCCCGGTGACTTAACACAAAAGGTGTTGAATGTCAAAAAGTATCACAGCTGTAGAAAAAGTGTTATCTGTATGTTTTTCCCCGGAGTTGGTCTTCTTCTTCAGTCACCGTGACCACGGACGCTGTAAAGCGGATTTTTTTTAAATTATGTAAAATAATTGTCAATTTATAATAATACATAACTTCAAATTTTAATCCGGTAAAAAAGTGTTTTCTTTAAATGTGTAAAAGTTATGTCAATAAAAGACAATACTATAGGAATTATATATTTCAGCAAAATACAAGTACATCAATCCATACAAAATATATTTGTTTTAATTCCAATAAGTTTTAATAAATAGAAAACATTTCTTTCCTGACACGCCTAAAAACTATTTGATAAATTTAAGGGAAAATTTGATGTGAGATTTGATATAAGCCTATAAATATTAACTATTACAATATATTATAATACCACTTGCTGATTCAAACTTAAAAATGTTGTATTTGCCCGGCCTATATCGCGCTTGCAATTAAAGTATGTGCGGAAAGACAACCCGTCATGGGATTGGACGCCAAAAACAGTGCCTTTTTGTTGTTTCGTGATTATAGTTCAATAATATATTATATCCGGATTCGTAAAATGAAAGTTATAGAATTCTGGTTAATTAATGTTATGGAAAAAATAAATATTACCAAATTAGTTTAACTTTCCGTAACTTAAACTATGGTTGAATCGTTTTGAATCGTGTCATGGGCTTGGACATGACAATATGATGATCTAAGGAACGATTTTTTTAACCATACATTATTGACTTTTACCCGAAGGGGTAGGCTGAGCCCACGGATCTCCACTTGCACGGTCCCGACATACCTATATCGCTTCATCGACTTTCATGACATTCACTTGTCCTTTCTCTAGTACCTCCTGGATTTGGTCCAGGTACGTCAAGGCCAACCTGCCTTGACCATCCATGGCCTTGCCTTTTACATCCTACTTGTAGGCCTACTGTGTAATTCTATCTTATAATACAGGCCTCTTTGGTGTATACAATAACGGCATATGTATAATTTTTAATTTATTATAATACGTATGACTTGATTTTATCCCTAAACATGCTTTTGTATAATTCCGGGGACCAAAAACAAGAAATATAAAACGTCTTTCACAGATTTAAAAATTACATTATGAATAGTATTTTAGTTTATGTCTCTTCTATAACTTATTTTATCTAACACAAGGATTAGTTAAAGTCAAAAATCATTTATTCATGTACAATGTACACTTATGAACGTCAAAAAAGATATATACATTAAATGCTTCTAATTTTACATTTACTGCCAGTTCTCAAATCAAGGGCGTAGAACGGAAGTGAAGAACTGTCAATAAACTCTCCGCCACTCTTTTTAATCGCCAAGTGTTTTATTTAACACAACGTCTGTAAGGAGCTGCAACCATTACACCATGTTCCACATGACATCCTTAGTAATAAATAATAATAAAATTAAACAAAAAAATGAGGCTGCATTGTAATAATATCAATTGCATATATGTAGACGTCACGTATTATGATTTTTTAGGAATCCTTCTCTAGCCAAGAGGTAAGTCCTTTCGGAAAAATATAATTTAAAAGCTATTTAAAATAACGCTTTCACAAGCACTTAAAAAAGACATTAAAGAAAAACGCATTCATTTTTCTCATTTTCATAGGGTGAATAACGGTAGAACCGGTGGACCGGGGAAACTTCATTTGCGAGCTCCTCTGCCCGTGAAATGAAGTCGGCTATTGCTGATCTCTGCGTCAGCAAACGGGGTACATTTGAGTCGCATTTCAAACCCTTTGGTTACACCCTAAACGTGTTTCCGTTTTGATTTGCATATATTGCGTAATTTATACTAATGTATTGAATGGGAGGTTTTGAGAGAGTTAATATATAGATTTAAATAATAGATAAAAATATTCTTTATGTTTAAAAATTTCCTCTTTTATTTCTTTGATAAAAAAATAATATGAAATTGGCGTTTTGTTGAACTGGCCACTTTAACCTCAAATATATCCTTTTTGGTTAGGAATTCCAAATTCAATTTTTAACAGCTATTTACTCGTTCATTTGTTTTTCGAAAACCATGATTCATGCGAAAATTTACTTCGAAAAAGTTACTTGTGAGCGTTTGGTGGACTAGTACCGGGGTCGTTCACTATTACTTTCTTAAATCTGACCACAGGATTACGGCAGATGTCTATTGTCAGCAACTGCGACCCATGATGGAAAAGCTAGCTGCTAAACAACCGAGGCTGGTCAATCGCTCTAGGCCACTGCTGCTTCACGACATCGCTAGACCACACATTGCACAACAGACTGCTACCAAATTAGAGTAACTTGAATTGCAATATCTAAGACATGCAGCGTAGTCCCCGGACCTTGCTCCAACAGATTACCATTTTTTTTTAAATTTGGACATCATCTTCTTGCAAGGTAAAAAATCCAACTCTAATGGGGCAGTCAAAAACGCCTTCAAATGGTTTTTTTTGTAAAGGGATCAATGAACTACATATAAGATGGCAAAAGTATATAGTAAAATGGCATAGATAGCGATGATATATACTTTGATTAATTAAATATATTATATTTAAAAAAATCTACTGTAGTGTTTTTTGTAAGATAAGTAATACTTTTTTATATTTATTTTGTACGAGATATTTGCGAATAATGTGTATGGGGCGCCAAATCAGCCCTACACTACAGCTTACTTACTTGCTAATTACGGCTCATCTGATGTTAAGTGATACCACCGCCCATGGACACCCACTCTACCAGAAAGCTCACAAGTGCGTTGCCGGCCTTTTGAAAGTTGTTACGCTCTCGTCGAGGACCCTAAGTCGGAATTTTTTCAGTGGACAGCTGATTCCACATAGTAGTGATGCGCGGAAAAAAGTGCCTTAAAAACGCTGTTGTGGAACGACGGATGTCGAGGTGATACAGGTGGAATTTCGTATTCTGCCTCGACAACCAATAATGAAACTCTGCTGCATGTTTTTACCCAAGCAACTTCTCCGAACACTCTTCGTGGTAAATGCTGTAGAAGATGCCGATATACCAAGCCGCTCTGAAAGGCTCTGGTCGTCTACGATTTGAATAGCTTATTGTTGACGTCAAGTGGAAGGAGCTTTGTTGACCGCTGCGAGTTTTCCTATAAAAAAGCTCGTAAAGTCCAGTTGTGCAACTGGGATGTTATCAGACTCATTTCAGCGTCTGTTTACTTTAATTATTTGTCACGTACCTCCGTGTCATGTACCTCCAAACAACTATTTATTGTTTCGCAACACTAATATATGAAAACAGTCTAGATTAAGCGGGTAAAATAGGAGCTTCCGCAATAATAAATATTATATTACATAGCTTGTTAGCGTGATTATCAAACGACATTTTATTTATTGAATTGGATTCAATTAGTTTCATTTAAGCCCAAAAAATCATCATATTTTTGGTATTTCTGTAATGTTATAGAAATCAATAATATTATATAATAGACACAAATAGACCCTATTTTAAACGGGCTGAAGGAAAATTTTATATTTAAAAGTATATTTTGCTGAAAAATAAATTGGTTCTGCCTTTCACCTTTGACAAAATGTATGATAAATTGGTTTGAACTTTCCAAAGGCTTCCCAACCAAACTCATTCAGAAAATATATTTTATAAATGAAAAGAGTATCTCTATCAATATAATAAAGCTACTTAGTAAAAAAAATTAAGTTCTTTGTGTAAATGTTAAAAAATTCTAACGATAAATTCTTAATTTAAATCGTTTTTGTTGTTTCTATGACGAATTATTAATATTAAATGTCTTTTCAATCTAACATTTAATAATGATGCTTTAAAATAAAAATCAGTGGTTATGTTAGAGTTCTTTTCAGACAGATATACAACTGTATAAGCATTAATATCGGCTTGCAAATCCGGGTGGAAACATTGATGGGGTTGTCTATGTACTTTAGAAGCTCCTGAAAATTTTCAGAAATATTACAAAACCACGCCCACTTACAGGGAAGGCTGCGATTGGCGACCGCCGTTCAAGTTGGCCGTTGATATCGACCAATGGAGGGGGCGTTACTGCGCAGCCGTAGCGAAGGCTTCAGCGGCGCGGGTCCGCTACGAGCCAGACGCTACCCCGGATCTGCTACGCCTAGCGACTGAAAAAATGTAAGTACCCTTTTATTTTCTTTTTGAGTTTAAAAATGGAATTATTACTACCTTAGTGCCCTATATGCGTAACTATAGAACTATGCGTGTAGATACATACTCCGTCTATATATAGAACATAGACTATCTATGTATAGCTACAGTGAATGGTTACGTAACATGGCTGCTACTGTATACTATGATTTATATATTGTTAATGTACTTGTAAAGTAGGATTAAATCATTGTGTCTTCCAAGATCAGAAAAGTGAAACACTGTAATTAGATTAACTTTAGGTTACTTAATAACAGTTACGTAATAAAAATCTATAATAAAGGTAACATAAATTCAATTAAAATTTAACTAATAAACAGATGAAAGATTTGGTTACGTTTAAATTTCATAGGTTTCGTAATTAAGAATAGTGACGAGTTTTTTATAGGTCAGCCAACGGAATTTTCGCCACATTATACATATACATACTTTAATAGAACATTGGATAGCTGGCATTGGTAGACTCAAAAGAAATCAATGCTCTGTGGTTATACTAATTTTTTGGTGTTACTTCCATTTAATTGAAAGAAATCTTTTGCAGGTACTAGTGATGTGTAATTGCATTACATGAAGGACATCAGGCTGCTGAAATGCAGGGGCTCCAAGCCGCGAAAGAGAAGGCATCAAGCCTCTTCGCCAACAAACCTTTAATACTCAAGTAAGTGCAATATGTGGTCTTAGAAAATCAGATTTATCTCCAATATTCCGTAATCGTCTTAGGTAACTTAGGTTTGGCTTAGGCGCGACGCTTATCTCTTTCATCTCGAAAATATCTCTAAATTTTTAGGCAATAACTACATACTACGCTTGATTCCTGCGAATTCCGATAGATTTACTTTTCACCGAATTTAAAATCGGCTAGTTAGATTAGAACTCCATTTATTGATCAGAAATAAAAAACAGATTCGAAATTTTGTTTATAATGTAAGGGCATACTTGTAGGTTTTCTGAGAGTAGTGTTGGCCTAGTGGCTCCAGCGAGTGCATTTAACATTCGCTCGAACGCTAAAGGAAAACATCGTGAGGAAAGCAATCGACGGCGTGTGTTAGGCACAGCCTAGCGATTCTGTAACTCACTTTTCGAACTCTCACAGCGGTTTTCGCAGCGGCGGTCGCGCTCAAATCAGTCGTGAAGCTGTCATTTTACGATTTGGCATTCTGATAAGGAGGGAGCTTGTAGTTTATTGTTTATCAGAATACCAAATCGTAAAATTACTGCTTTAGAATGCTACAGAATTGCAAGGCAGGAGGCTGATCACCTACTTGTTTCTTAGATTCACAAATGATCATGAAACAGACAAAGAAATCTGAGGCCCAGACCTATTAGGTTGTAGCGCCACCGACTTTTATAGGATTTTTGTGAAAGTAAATTGATTGGTTTTGACTAAGACTGCTGTTAGAAACTGATGCATTTCTGGATAGCTTCTTTAATTATTCTGTTATTATATATTGGTTCATAGCATCTATTCCACAAGCCGATGCCTAGGACAATAATATTAAATAACGATAATATAGGCTTGGGTATGATTCCAACCCATCAAGTGAGACATCTTTAAACTCAAAATTTTCCTACTTTGCCTCTTTGGTAACAAAGCGTTTAACTATTTAAGGATGGAAAAAGACATTTAGTTAAAAAATTTAAACATTTGAAATAAGAACGTTAAATAATGTTTCCGTTTCCGATTATCTATATTTTTCCTGACGCGACTAAATTGGACAAAGGGAAGCCAGGAATCAAATCAGCGTAGTTTGACTGCTAGTTTATCGATAATATTGACAAGAGGATAATACACGTCGCAATAGAAATGAAATAAGGGCGAAGGAATCGCTCCTTGTCTCGAAAAAGTTTTGATATTTATAACAGGGCCGGGCTCCATTTACCAAAAAGGTTTTACTTATCGGGACTCTTCTGTTTAAAGATTTAATTTAACTACTCTTCAGTTTCTGTCCAATAATTGTGTTTTATAAAAACTTGCGTGTCAACATAACAGCTTAGAATAGCATTTCACAATTATTAGTCTGTGATTTACTATTCAACATATAGTACAGCTTATGGTAAGTAGTATTTATGACACGCGCAGACGATTTGATTTGAGTACTCTTAAATAACATAATAAAATCTTATTATTACTGTATTACAAGTATATTTATATATTTTAGCTGCTTACTGTAAATAATCATTGTTAGCAATGCAACCGTAGACAGGCTCCTCAGCGCGATAACAAACAGACATCATCCGGATTTGTGTCATCATGCGAATGGCCCAGCAAATTTAACGAACTGAAAATCGATAAAATATTAAATCCCTAGTCTTTGTTTGCGCCCATTTGAATTATTGTAAACGGGAGATTTATTTAACTTATTATAAAGATTATTCTAGAGAACATGTACCCTGAATAAAATCTATATAGGTTATAGTTCTCTCGTATATTACAAGTCTATAGCAATCAGATTAAAATCTTATATTTTGACGTACTACGGGACTCCCTTATAACTCGTTTTTCTAGAGACTGAATAACCCTCGGGTATAGATTGAAATACTAATCGGTAGAACAATGCGATTATTCTTGTATTGACATACTTACGGGACTCCAACCGTAGAACTTAGGCTGCTCTAGAGCTGAATAACCCTCGGGTATAGATTGAAATATGAAATCGGTAGTCTATGTTTATTCTTCCACAGTAGTACAGGTGAACGGCTCGGTAGCAATCAGGCCGATTCAAACACTCTTGTATTTTGACATCTTACGGGCCCCCCGAAAAACTTTTTTTTTTTTTCAGAGACTGAATAACCCTCGGGTATAGATTGAAATATTAAATCAGTAGTCTTTGTTTGCTCTTCCACAGTAGTATAGGTGAACGTGAGATTCATAGGGTAGCAATCAGATTCAAAACTCTTGTATTTTGACATACTTCCGGGACTCCCGTATAACTTACGTTTTTCTAGAGACTGAATAACCCCGGGGCCTAGGGCCTAGATTGAAATATGAAATCGGTAGTCTATGTTTATTCTTCCACAGTAGTATAGGTGAACGTGAGATTCATAGGGTAGCAATCAGATTCAAAAATCTTGTATTTTGACATACTTACGGGACTCCCGTACTAACTTACGTTTTTCTAGAGACTGAATAACCCTCGGGTATAGATTGAAATATTAAATCGGTAGTCTTTGTTTATTCTTCCACAGTAGTATAGGTGAACGTGAGCTTCATAGGGTAGCAATCAGATTCAAAACTCTTGTATTTTGACATACTTACGGGACTCCCGTATAACTTACGTTTTTCTAGAGACTGAATTAAGCTTCATAGGGTAACAATTATTACCCTCGGGTATAGATTGTAATATTAAATCGGTTATTCTTGCACAGTAGTACGTTTTTCTACCTTACCCTCAGCTGAGAAAGGAATATTAAATTATTAGTAGTAGTTCTTAAAGCTAAAATTTTGCATTGATATATGCATAAATCAATGTGTTTGGCTATGGAAATTACAGCGAGGACGATATAGATGCAAAAATCAGGGTACCAAGCCCAAACGGCTGATGACCTACATACAGTTAACCTATAAAGTAAGCAGTAAAAATGTGACCGCCTCATTATTAGTGATGCAACTTCAAAAATACTCTGATAAAATAACTAACACAATTATTGTACTTTAAAGCATAACAAAGATGACATTTATTTCTTAGTTATATTTAAACTTCTATACTTAAATTAAGGAAGTGAGGGTAATGATTCAGTTCATACTACTTTTTCCGGCTACACGTCGCCGGGGATGTTATAAAGCATAAAGATTATCTAATCCCTATAAGAGTAGTGTTGGCTTAGTGGCGTGAGCGTGCAACTCTATTTTGAACAAAGTGAGGTCGTGCTTTAGAAACACGGCTGTGTAGTTTCATACGAAAGTCAATATGCTTTAGACACATCGACGGCGTGTGTCGATCAAAAGTGGATCAACTACTTGCCTTTTAAGAAAATAAAATTATCAGGTACGGGTAATTGAGACCTATACCAGCTGGGGATTTTGTAGATCCACTTAAGTGGCCTTGTTAATACAGAATTTCATGACATTACATGAATTTCTGAGTCTTTGTCTATTGTACAATAGTATCTCCTGGTCTATTAGTATTTGCATCACCCCCGATTTCACAAGTTCATTAATAACACATTGTTTACACGCTGTATTATTTAGTTTCAAATAATAAGATCGAATTTTCCTTACCTAATTAATGAGTACAATATCTTGGCAATTAGGTCATCAAAGACCGAGAACGAATCTCCAACGTTTTTCCTCAGTCTAGATAATCTTTTAACGTACGAAGCCTTGACCATATATGAATATTTTATTGATATCCCTTACGTTATGAATTGCGAGGGAAAGGGTAGATGGTTCATTATTTAGTCCGTTTAAATCACTAAGTCCTTAAAAGACATTAGCAGGCTTTGTAGCGTTATCGCAGTACACAAAAGAGATTTAGAATGAGCTACGGAGGGGCTTGCCGTCAATTATCACTTTATAGCTTAGCGTATTCGTTAGACATAATGATGATTGAATCTCCTATTTATAAGTACAGATAATATTTTTATTTATTAACGTTAAAATTAAAAAGAACAGAAAAATTTTAACTGACTGTTTTTTAGGTTTTTTCTTTTTTCGTACAGTAATATTATTAATTGTTTAAATATGGAACAAATTGCATCGTAATCGAGTAAATATCTAGTTCGAAACAAAACATAAGTCCCACTAGAGTAAATATTAAGATATGATAAAGGAATTATATATTTCTAATACGGTCAAAAATCTAATATATTATTAGAAGTTATAGCAATTTGACTAGATTTGACCAGGAAACAAAAGTTTTGTAATCAAACGTTATAAACGTATTTATTTACGTTTTATTTTTCTTAAGCTTCCAAAATTCAAGATAGCATTCGGTAGAAGAATAATAATTTATTACTTACTTGACACTGTTG